TCTGCTCTGGTATGTTTTGTTAAAGACCCTTCTTTGTATATCCTGAAGGATTCCAATGTATGGTGAAGCTAAGTTGGCCTTCTTTGTGTACTTGTGGTTCCCTAAAACCAAGGTTTGCAATATCAATTACGAATCATAATTGAGTCAACTACTTAACTGGTTCTTTCATTCTAAGATTTTTTCTTTATTTTTTATTTAAATTGTATCAGGGAACAACATATGTTTATGACTCCTTCGTTAGACCCTATGTTGCTAAGCATGAGACAGATATTGATCGTAGCTTGTTAGAACTGAGGGCAAGAGCTGGGGACTTGACACTCTTGTACTGGCAAAAAGCTGCCAGCTATGCCCAGAATAGGATATTTTACGTTTTGCAGTACATTGCTTCACAATCAACCCCCACCCCCAAACAGCCAGATCAGGTATTCTCGACCCCCAGACTGTGCAGTATATTTCTTCTTATATAAATGCTGCCATTTGCATTAGACTGTGTTAATGTGGTGAAGTTGCTTTTGTTTTAGATTATTCTATGGATATAACCAAATATGTCAATATACTTGTGATGACATCACTAGCTTTTCGGTCAGTAACTCGGGTCTTGATTCGCTGCACAAGATCTTGGGTAACCTACTTGGACTCTTGTGTCACCTCTAGATATCTTGGGTCACTTCGCTTATGTTAATGCTGAGATGACTTGTAATAAAAAATAAGCACGTTAGGCTCGTCGTGATGGTCCCCGGCTAAGACTTTGCATGCTTAAGTCGGTCAAAGTGAAGATTACCATAAGAGTACGGGAAATTCGCACATAAAACTCATTTCATTAGAGATTGTAACTTCATAATTTTACGAGTCTAGATATGACATCTGTAGGGCCACATGGGTATAATAAGTTCTTAGGTTTTTTCAAGGATCAACGGTAACTGTTCTAACATGCCACATCATGGTTCAGGTTATGACTAAATGACTTGAATATAGGGATGCATATCATGGAGTAAAGAGGTCAATCTTTGTTGTTTTAAGGGCACTCTAATAAAAATACTATTGTTGAATATCATTTATAAGTAAACAAGTTACAAATGAACAGCCGGATGAAGAAAATGTTCACATATGTTGGTTTTTGCATTTTCACATTCACCTTCACTTTATAACTTTCATCACTTTTTTTTTTTTTTCAATTTTAACCAATTATCTTCTAAAATCTAAATTCTTCGTACTGATGTTAAAACTCTCTCTCTCTCTCTCTCTCTCTATATATATATATATATATATATATATATATTTTTTTTTTTCTTTTGGCGTTGTAAAAAGGAAAATGGTAGGACTGATTCTATCACTTGAAGCAATGTTATGAAAATCTTTAGGTGCTCTCTAGGTGGTTGGTTGATTCTAACACCTAGAATGCCTGGGCAGAGACTAGAGTATGACTGTATGACACAAAAGTATTTACAAAATTACGTATAATTGTCATCATAGAAGTTGGGGGAAGTTTTAAAGTGAGTGCCAATGTCAAAAGGTGAAACCCTACAACTAACAACAGGTTATGATATATGAAATGTTTAAATTTTCATTATCCAACGACTCATTTTAAACATCTTTACTCATATACTTATAAAAGTAAAAGAAGTCGGAGGACTGACTGATGCACAATAATTATATTTCTAATGTTCTTCCGTATACAGATAGGACTAATTTCTTTACACCAACCCTTATAGTCAGGGTCATTTAGCCATGACCCAAACAACAAATCATGAGTGACCCACTTTAACAACGATAGTTGATCCCATTATTATAAATACTTACAATTCGTATGAGATAACTAATAATATTTGCATGAATTCTAGAGTACTCTTATAAGTTATAACTCTTTGATTGAACCGAAGTGACTTAAACATTCGAGGTATTACTCGAGAACCATTCCGACGAACCTAACGTGCTTCCTTTATTTTTAGACATCTCACTATTAATATACTCAATGACCTTATTTTTGAAGTGAATCAGGACCTGAGTTTGTGACCTAAAGTTAGCTAAGTCATTTCAAGTACACTGATCGCTAAAAATGTTCGCTTTTCAACTGTGTATTTTCTGATACAGCTGAGCATGACTATTATACATAAATGATATATTATCTTTGTTGCCCTTGGATCAATCTCAGATTTGAAATTCTGGAAAAGTGCTAATTACCTGAGGTTTAGATTAATAAATCAAAAGGAAAAGAATTCAAAATCCAGTGATCTTCTAGCATCATGAATACTCTCATTTACATTTTTATTTGATTTCGTTTTACCAAATGTCTTAAATTTGGGAGGTTTAAATTTTTTTTATCGTTTACTATTATTTTTTTCTTGGTAATTGGTTTTTTTTTTTTTTTTTT